ACTTACTGAGAAACTGCCAGACTCTCCCTTACTGTCTGTACTATTTTACATCTCTGCCAGCAGTTCATGAGGGTTCTGATTATTCCTGTCCTCTTCAACACTTGTTATTTTCCATTTTTTACATAATAGCTATTCTGTTGGGTGTGTCAGAAATTTTAAACATTGCTCTGGTGATGTTAGATGACTCAGAAGGCAGTTTACTACTGTGAGGAGCTATTTTCGAGTTACTAAAAGGAGTGAGTGGCCCAAACTACTGCAATAAAAAGGGATTCTGACTGTCATGTGTAGTATCTGCTTGCTTATTCATAGGATACTTCATTTTATAAAGAGGATTTTGTGTGTATGTGTGTGCATGTTTCTTTCCTTTTGGGGGGGTGGGGGAGGGTTTTGAGACAGGATTTCTCTGTGTAGTTTTGGTGCCTGTCCTGGATCTCGCTCTATAGACCAGACTGGCCTCGAACTCACAGAGCCAGAGATCCGCCTGGCTCTGCCTCCCAAGGCCTGGGATTAAAGGTGTACACCACCACCACCTGGCCAATTTCTTTCCTTTTTTATGTTGAGAGATAGACTGAGACTGATTTATTATATAGCCCAGATTAGCCTGGAACTTGAACAATGATCCCCCTGCTTCATCTACCCACGTGCTAGGATTGTTGGCATGAGCTACCACGGTTCACTTAGTCTATAAAGAGGCTTCTATGTTTCTTGATGTGACTAGGAAGTAAGCCAAAACTTTCAGGGGCAGAGGGGCTTGGAGCTCATCAGTCAGCTCTTGGGTTTTGCTTTTGAAGTCATTTATGATGAATGGTTTGCATGGAGCTAGGGATGAGCTTTTGTAAGCTGTCTTTTGACGTGTGTACTGTCTTTATCTGTTGCCCTGTCTGACATGCATAGTAAGCCTTAGCATGTGTTCAGAGAACCAAAAACCTCACAGCAAGACCTGGCAGGGCTGTTAAAGAAATTGGAGATATCTTTTTCTTCAGGTACTGCTGCTGCTCATCATTTACTGACCCCACCTCCCTGCCTCACAGAGCTGATTTCTAGTGCATAATTGATTATGATACCTAGAAAATGTTGCTGAATAGTTTTTTTTAAAAGCCTAGGTACAGAAACTCTATTGGCAAATATGCTGATGGTCCAGTTTTGTCTCCCCTGATAAATGCACACAACTTGCCTCAAAACTAGTGAGCCAGTGCTGTGAGCAAAAGGAGGAGTGACTGGGAAACTTCAACCACTTCCTTGTTTACCTTTTATCTGGAAAAAGCAATCTTTGGGGCAGGGAGGAAGATTTCATGAGCAACTTTGGGAAATGGCATGTGCTGTGTTCAGCTCTTGAGATTTACAGTGCACAGCAGCTCCTTAAAATTCAGCAGTAGTAATGACAGTAGGTGGCTTTGTTAGTGTTTTCCAAACCCTAACAGTCCTTTGGTTGAGTAACTACACCTTGTCACAAGGATTCCTTAATCACACTTTGGGGAATTACGACCCTTGCTTTTGTATAAAAAAGTTTGAGCAGAATATGAATTTTTTGAGGCCAATAAAGTATAAAGGTTCCCTGAGTGCAAGTTGTTAGACCTTCCTCCTTAGTGTTATTCTATCATCTAAGTAACTGGGCTTTTTTGATACTCAACAGACACTAATGCCCTATTTGTATATGCTACTCATTAGATGATACAGTTTTTAGAGCAGTGTCTCATTATAGGAGATGCTGTGTGATGGTAATTGCTATATAATAGATACCTGTAACTTTTCTTCCACCCTTGTTACATAATTAAGGAAAAATAACCTGCATTGCAGATGTAAAAGATAAGACATAATTTTATTTTAAGACAAGGTCTGGCTGTGTAGCCTTGGCAGGCCTGGAACTCACTATGTAGATAGGCCGGCTTTGAACTCAAAGAGATCTGCCTACCTCTGTCTCCTAAGAGTTGATATTAAAGCTTTGTGCACCATGCTCTATTCTTGGCTTTCAATTTTTAAAACATTTTTTACTGTGTGTGTGTTTGTTTGCACTCGCACACACATGCTCCAAGGAATACATGTAGATGTTGGAGGACAACTTTTTGGATTAATTTCTCTCCCTCTACCTTATATGGGTTCTGGGGATGCAACTCAGGCTTGAGAAAGCAAGTGTCTTTGCCCACTGAACTATCTGGTCAGCCCTTTAATTAGTCTTTAAAGTTAGCTTACAAAGAAATGAGTTTCATTAAACCACTTTTGTATATATGTGTAGTTATACTTTGTTTTTATCCATTTGTCCCAGTGTTCTATTCCATTCTTGACTCTAAATAGCCCCTCCTTTTGCTTTTATTTCATGCATTCCATTGCCTTTTCTTCTTCCTTCTTTTCTTCCCTCCCTCTGAGCTGGAGTCTGTTGCTTTGTATGTCTCCCAAGCTGGCCTCTGCTTTAGGCTTTCTGGGTAGCTGGCATTACAGACATAACATTGTACCAATTATGTGTTTTTTCTTTTTCTTTCCTTTCCTTTCCTACCCTCCCCCCCTTTAGAAATGACAAAACTGAGACCTAAAATTGTTATCATCACCCAGTGCTGTGTAATGTGCAAGTAAAAACTGTGACTAACAGAGCCTGCCCTTTTCTGGCTTTTCTGCTAGACCAGGCTATTAGGGTAGCACTATTAGTAGACACCAGTAAGTATGTGTTGACTAGGACTTCATTCTTCCCACAGTTTCGAACCTTAGTGCTTGTAACAGTAAATTTCAGGTTTTATAGAAAGTAACAGCCCCATATTCAGGTTATGTAGACTGCCAATATTTTACTAGTCCATTTAGTTGAGTGGCATGGCATGAAGGAATTGCTAAATAATATGTCTAGAAAAGATGACATGGTTTTCTTCCCACAGGAATCAGAGTGAGAGTAGGAATAGGCTGCATACCTGTAGGATTTCATCAGGTTACCTGAGCAAAAGCTTGTCTGTAAGGTGTGTGCATAATCTTTTATCTCCTTAGACCAGTGGTTCTCAACGTTCTTAATGCTGCGACCCTTTAATACAGTTCCTCATGTTGTAGGGACCCCAAAACCATAAAATTATTTTTGGTGCTACTTCATAACTGTAATTTTGCTGCTTTTATGAATCATAATGTCAATATTTATGGATATAGAGATTTGCCAAAGGCAAAGGAGTCATGACCCACAGATTGAGAACTGCCACCTAAGACTGTTGACTGGACTGAGAGGCATTGTTGACTGTTTCTGGGCCTTCAGTAGACATTGCAAGTGTTTCCTCAGCTGGACCAGTATAAGTAGGAGTGAGAGCCAGCTATGGAAGGGCCAGCAGACATCCAGGAAATACAAATGGCTGTCAGTTCATTAGCCTAATTAAGTAGAACAGTTAGTGTCCCTCCTCCACTCTCACTTATTGAGGCAATCGGTCTTTGAACAGTGTTCCACTCTTGTCCTCTAATCTCCTGAATGTGAGAACTGCAGAAGGCAGTTCAGTTGAAGGAATGATACCTTTTTTTTTTTTTTTTTTAAGAAGTGACATTGTGTCTGGACTGAATGAGAGCAAGACCAGGACACTAATTCTTAACCTAGGGAGATCAGGAGGGCATATGAAAGTACACTGCTGAGCTCCACCCCTTCAGTTTATGTTCTAGTGGTAAGGTTAAGGCCTGTGATTCTGCATTTCTAATGCATGCAGGTTGATGTTGATGGTTCTAGGATCGTACTCGGAGAATTACTTTTTGGAGAGGATGAAGGTGGGTGTAGCTTTTCATTTTTTCTCCGTTAAAGTCTTCATAAGCAAGGAAAGAAAGCGTCCACCTCTTCAAGATCCCATGCCGGGTGATTTCGGTCAGCTTAACCCAACCCTTGGAAATACTGTACAAAGTAGTTCTTGTCCCATTTATCACATGGAAGCCATTAACAATGGAGTAACTTTTTCTTTCTTTGGGGCAATAGTTTGAGTATACTTCATGGGGGCACTAGGCTGGGTAGTAACTAGAGAGCTCCTTAAAGCCTAGAACAGTAATTTTTAAAGGACAGCTTTTTTAAAAAAATTTATTTGGTTTTTGAGACAGAGTTTTCTCTGTGTAGTTTTGGTGCCTGTCCTGGATCTTGCTCTGTAGACCAAGCTGGCCTCGAACTCACAGATATCCACCTGGCTCTGCCTCCAGAGGGCTGGGATTAAAGGCGTGCGCCACTACCGCCCGGCTTTAAGGGCAGCTTTTATGTCAAAGATAATGTTCATGAACTTACAGATGTGATGTTTAATTCTCCTGTTGTTTATTCATGACAGTTTTAGAGTTACAAGAGATAAAAACTGTAGATCACTTTCACAGTCATTACAGTAAAATGTTAAGATGGATTTCTTCACAAGATGATAAAGGGAATGAGGGCTTGACTTTAAAAATCTCTTCCAAATTACAGAAAAGATGAGGATATATTAAAGTGTGTTTGTTTTTGGTTTTGGGGTTTTGGGTTTTGTTTTTTTTTTTTATTTTTGGTTTTCAGTTTTTCGAGACAGGGTTTCTCTGTAGCTTTGTGCCTTTCCTGGATCTCGCTCTGTAGCCCAGGCTGGTCTCGAACTCTCAAAGATCTGCCTGCCTCTGCCTCCCAAGTACTGGTATTAAAGGCATGCGCCACCACCGCCCGGCTTTAAGGTGTTTTTAAAAGAGTGTTACAGTTATTTATTTAGTTGCTTGCTTATTTGATACGGAGTCTTTCTGAGTAGCCTGGACTGGCCTAAAACCTTGGTAGCTCAGGATAGCCCAACCTTGTGATCTTCCTGTCTCATCTCCAGAATGCTGGGATTACAAGTGTATGCCATTGTTTTCAGCTGCTAATTGATTATTGACCAACCTTATTTCAGAAATAAGCAATGTTAAAAGGTGTATTTCAGAATAGTAGATATTAGAAACTAAATTCTTGAAAATTCAACTATGAGACTTATTTAAAGCACAGTGTTCTTTATTAATGTTCTTTTGAAAGGTCAACTTGTTTTCAATGGAGCTCAGTGAAATTACTTTCTGTTATTTGACAGAACTACAAAATTATTTTTTTAAAAAAGTGGTGACCCAAGCAGTTGAACTGAAGGCATTCTGGGAAAACCTGCTGTTTATTGTGAAAATCATCTTTGATCTTGGAATTAAAAGTAAAGCTGGAAAGGAATTTACAAACAAGAAAAAGAAGAAGTTTGGAATTGAACTCACAAGATCTGGGCTTGGAAATGCCTCAGGTAAATCACATGTGGAGTAGTGTGCGGTTTGATTTTCTGTGTGGTAGAAAGGGCACAGTGTTGCCCTTTCTGCATCTTAACACAGCTTGACACACTAGCTTCAAAGACAGCTTATTTCTGTCCTCACCTAGATGTGAGTACATGCTCTCCTGTTCCTCGTTTGCTGTAGCCTTGAAGATTTCAATGAGCTTGACACAAGGAGCATGGTGAGTAAGTAGGCTAGTTGCTAAATCTGCTCTCTTTATGAGAACAAAATGAATTATCTAGAAATTTAATCTGCCACCCAAATCCCATTTGATATTCTGATATTTTGCTTCCCAACTCTTCCTTTCCATTTACAACAGTTCAGAAGCGGTGATTCTGTTTCACACATAGAAGCATACACATATATCCAAGAGTGGTATATATTCTCATTCTCATTCTCTCTCCCGCTCCCCCCTTTCTCTGTGTGTGTGTGTGTTTGTATGTATGTGTATATCTTTCTGTCTCTTGACCTGGTCTTGCTGTAAAACTGGCTTTATTTTAGCAACCTTCCTGCTTTGGCCCTGAAAATGCTGAAATCATAGGCACACAGTTCCACACCAGGCTGAGACAACTCCTTTTAATTGGTCTCTTTTTGAGTTTGAGGCAATCAGTGAAATAAAAACTGGAAGCTTATTTGTCCCCATTCTTCTTATCGAAATGTTCCCCTTTCCCTTTTTATGGTTAATTTTCACCCCCACCCCCAGTTTGAGTGCTGGAAAGAAATCTAGAAATACTGAGCAGTTAGGACTCCAAGGAGGTCCTGTACAGGACTAGCCCTTGGGCACAGGGATAAAAAATTTGTTAGGATGGTTTGGTGACTTTGCAGCAGAGTCTAGAGAAAGGACTTGGTAACTGATACTTAAAAGACCAGAGGCCAGCGTCCAGAGGCGGCGTCCATCCCAAGGTCTGGGACAAAAGGACCACATGTCCCTTTTTAGAGTTTGTGTCTAAACAAGGTATGATTTGCTGTTTATTGACTACTTGATTTAGGGCTCTAAAACTTGTTTTCTTAAACGAATTTTTTTTTAGGAAGAAAGACTCCAATGTTTTTGGAAGGTCTGGGGAAACTAAAGCAAAGCAAACCAGCTGATTTGGAAGTACCTAGGGGAACATGGAAAAGGCAGATCAGGTGGGAGGTGTGTAAGAAGGAAGTAGGTGCATAGACTACTAATGCCTTATAAAACTCTTTGCTGCACCACCTCGTGGGAGAGTAAGAAGAGTGTTTCTAGTCTTTCTCACTTTCTTTATTGCAGTTAGAGTTCAGAGTGTGGCTTTTCTTTTCTTTGAGCCAGGGTTGTACGGCTGAAGTGATTTGGATAGATGATGAAATGTAAAAAGGAGAGAGAGAAACCAGAAGATGAAGCCCACATTTTCAGCTGTGTCTTAGAACGTTTGGAGGCTATTACGTTGTTCCTGTTGGTTGGACTGAAGATACCTAAATGGGGCTGGCAAGGTGGCTAATGGATTAAAGGCTCTTGCCGGGGAGCCTGATTGGCTTGAGTTCAGTCTCCTAGTCCCACATGATAAAAAGAGAGAACTGACTTCAGCAAGTTATCCTCTGACCTCCACATGTCTCTCTCACCCCCAAAATAAAATTATAAAAAGATACCCAAATTATCTTTGTTTGGGGAAGTAAGACATTGGACTCAGGAATATAGTTTAAGTCTGACTTACTACTGCTTTAGCCCTAAGAAAACAGGAGAACATTCTCTGCTTCAGGGAAATTAGAACAGTCTTGTTAGAGAAGGATTTTAAGAAATGTTTATATAGCTTAAAAAATAAGTAGCCCAATCTTGTATACTGTCTCTAGTGACCAAACTTCAGTTTTTAGAAGTTGTTGTTAAGAATTTCTGTTCTGATTTTTTTTTTCTATACATCTTGGCTGCTTTCCTCGTAGTAGAGGTCCATGTTCAGTGCTAGTTAAAGCCCTTTGTGTGCGCTACAAAGGAGACAGAATTATTTACTGAAATAAATTATGTACTGGGATAAGGACAGGCATATGTGTAGTAAGTTGGACTTGAAGCTGCCTTTAACCTCCTAAAGTGAAAATGGTTTTATTGTAGCCCAGCGTAAGCGGAATGGACCCGCCTTTTGGGGATGCCTTTCGAAGCCACACCTTTTCAGAACAGACTCTGATGAGCACAGATCTCTTAGCCAACAGTTCTGATCCAGATTTCATGTATGAGCTGGTAAGCAACCTTTTCTTGGTTTTAGTTTTAATTGACTTGGGATCAAAATGATGATGTAGAGGTTTTTTTTTTATAAATATCTGAAAAGAGAAAATAATGTACATGATATGGAGGCTCACACAGGTAAAACCATTACCTGAGAGGCTGAGGAAGGATTGTGGGGACCGTACAGATCAGGTTTTAAGAAAAGGAAAATGATGTGACTAGGGGCCAAGTTTGATTCTTGTGACTTAGTCTAGTAATTTCTGAAAGATACCCAAATTGATTAAAGTAGCATGTGAAGAGGTTATCTGTCAAGTCTGGTTGTTCATGAGGAAAGTAAGCTGTGTGTGTATGATATGCTAAACTGCTAAAGGGCTTTCTAGCTCACATATTAAGGAATGATGCATACACAAGACGTATGGTAAAGATGGTAAGACAGATAAGTAGCCCCAAGTTACTCCAAGTTTCTGAGGTAGACACAAAATTCCCAAGAGGAAAAAATACTTTATGTCAGGAGGTACTTTGCAGTACATGTATGCAGTGCCCGTAGAGGCCAGAGAAGATGTCTGATTCCATGGAACTGGACATTTGTGAGCCACCATGTGGGTGCTAGGAATGAACCAAGGTCCTTTGCAAGAGCACCAAGTGCTCTTAACTGCAGCCATCTCTGCAGCCCTGCTTCTTTCTTTTTCTTTTCTTTTTTTTTTAAAGGCAGGATCTCTCTCACTTTGTTGCTTTGGCTGGCCTGGAACTTTCTATGTAGACTAGGCTGGCCTCAAGCCTTACAAATACCTCTGCCTACTTTGGCCTCTTGAGAGCTGAGATTAAAGGCTTGTGCCATCATGCCTAGCCTAAGGGAGGAAAAATAACTTATATTTTAACTGTGCACATGAGGGAAGGTACCCAAAGAGGCCAGAGGTGTCAGATCTCCCTGGAGCTGGGAGTTAAAAGTGGTTGTGAGCTTTCAGACAGCAGTTCTTGGAACCTAGCTTGGTTCCTTTAGAAGAACAGTAAGAACTCTTAACTGCTGAGCCATTTTTATAGCCTCAATATAATTTTAATTATATGTAACTTAAACAACACAGAAATGCTAGAAATTGTGAATTTGAGTGCACATATGTGAATTCATGGAGAACAATTGAATTCTACTCCTATAAAAGTGGGATATGGTATATATAAATTACTTAAGTGAAGCTACTCAACACATACAAAGACACACACACAGTCCAACATAAAATAAATGCAAACTAAAAATTCATTGGAACAAAGTAAACTGGAAAACTGAAAATCCATTCCCTTTATGAGCCTCTACTCTTCAGTTTTTCCCAAACAGGTGTAACTAGTGCTAGCAGATACCATGAATATGTAAACATTTGAATATGCTTTTTACTGTGGATGGATAATATACTTGTATCCTTCAGTTTGCTTTTTCCCCACATTTATTTAGTCTGTGTGTATGTGTTCAGGTTAGAGGATAATTGAGGATAGTTTTCTCCTTGCATCATGTGGGTCCCAGGGGTTGGACTGAGGTGGTCAGGCTTGGCATCGAGCCTTTACCCACTGAGCCTTCTCTTCAGCTGGAGTTTGCTTTTTCTAAAAATAAAAATGATAAGTAGCCTTTTGTGTTAGTGTACTAGGGCTCAACTTTTTCCATGACTGTAGAATGTAACTACATTTTATTTATTTGTTTTTGTTTGTTTGTTTGTTTTTGAGGCAGTTTTACCATGTAACCCTGGCTAGCCTGGAACTTGCTATGTAAACCAGGCTGGCTCCAAACCCACAGCGATAGTCCTGCTTCTCCCTTCTGAGTGGATTAATAGTGTGTGCTACCACTCCATGTATGCTTTTTTGCTACATTGTAAAGTCACATCTTTGTAGTACATGAGGAATATCTGACTTCCCTTGCCAAGAATTGTTACCTAGGTTCTAGGCAAGGTTTTACAATTTTACAGTTAACTTTTGGCGCTCTCTGGTCTCTTTGCTTTCATATTTAATTTCCTCCTTAAGTTGAGGTATTCTGTGATAAAGGTAAGGTCTTCAATACTTGCTTCTTGCTTGAAGTTAATTTCTAAAGAGAGCTTCTAAGATCACAAGAGGCTTTGATGTTTGGACCCATACTTTAGTCTCTCAAAGAATGTATTTTCCCGCTTTTTCTTGCCCAGTGGAATGAAGGTGTATAGATGTAAGGGGAAGGTATCATGTCAGTAGACTTTATCTTGAAACAGACCAGAGGTAGAGTATTTGTTTTGATATTTGCAGGTATGGATGGAGGTGAATATTTTCTTCCTAAAGCATGGTATGTGATTTCCCGTTTTAAACCTTCCTTAGGATAGAGAGATGAACTATCAACAGAATCCTAGAGACAACTTCCTTTCTTTGGAAGACTGCAAAGACATTGAAAATCTGGAGTCTTTCACAGATGTCCTGGATAATGAGGATGCTTTAACCTCAAACTGGGAACAGTGGGATACATACTGTGAAGACTTAACTAAGTACACCAAACTAACCAGCTGTGACATCTGGGGGACAAAAGAAGTGGATTACCTGGGTCTTGATGACTTTTCTAGCCCTTACCAAGATGAAGAGGTCATAAGTAAAACTCCAACCTTGGCCCAGCTTAATAGTGAGGACTCTCAGTCTGTTTCTGATTCCCTTTATTATCCTGATTCACTCTTCAGTGTCAAACAAAATCCCTTGCCCCCTTCATTCCCTAGTAAAAAGATCACAAGTAGAGCAGCTGCCCCTGTGTGTTCTTCAAAGACACTTCAGGCTGAGGTCCCATCGTCAGACTGTGTCCAAAAAGCAAGTAAACCTACTTCAAGCACACAGATCATGGTGAAGACCAACATGTATCATAATGAAAAGGTGAATTTTCATGTTGAATGTAAAGACTATGTAAAAAAAGCAAAGGTCAAGATCAACCCTGTACAACAGGGCCGGCCCTTGCTGAGCCAGGCACAGACAGATGCAGCCAAGGAGAACACCTGCTACTGTGGAGCTGTGGCTAAGAGACAGGAGAGAAGGGGAATGGAGCCTCGTCAGGGGCATGGCACACCTGCTTTGCCTTTCAGAGAAACCCAGGAACTATTACTTAGTCCTCTGCCCCAGGGTGGTCCTGGGTCAGTTGCCACAACAGAGAGTGGCAACCTTTCTGCCAGCACTTCTGTTTCAGATTCATCCCAGAAAAAAGAAGAGCACAATTATTCTCTTTTTGTCTCTGACGACATGAGAGAACACCCGACCAAATGCAGTCCTGAAGACGATGAGGATGATGAAGATGATATTGATGATGAAGACCATGATGAAGGGTTTGGCAGTGAGCATGAGCTTTCTGAAAATGATGAGGAGGAAGAAGAAGAAGAGGATTATGAGGATGACAGAGATGATGATATTAGCGACACATTCTCTGAACCAGGTATAACTCTCACAGCTTATTAAATTGACCTTCCTATTCACTGTTTGAAATAGAACGCTTTTTGGATGGTTGCTTTATTTTAGTTTAGGGGTTAAGTAACTTTATGTCTTTATTTGCATCAAAAGTATCTTTTTCTATTCACATAGCTTTAAAGCTGCTATTTATACTTATGATCATTTGTGCCTCTGTCATAATTTGTATCTTGATTCTTTGAGGGCTTATTCTTAATTATTTTTTGTTAAATGACCTTCTTTGCCACCCTCTTGAACACTTACGTGAAGATTTAAAATACAATGCCCTGTTTTGCTTGTGCCCCTCTACTGTGGCTAAGATAGGTGTATATAGAATGGTGAACCAAGGGATGTCAGCTCATATCCCTCATGCTTATAGCTAACAAAAGCCTACTGAGTGACAGTTTGAAGGCAAGCCTTTTCTTGTGTTCGCTATATTTTATTAAGAAAATATATGCTATACCAGGTGTGGTGCGTGCCTATGATCTCAACACTTGGAGGCAGAGGCAAGAAGATCCCCACAAGTTTGAGGTCAGCCTGGTCTACATAGTTGATTCCAGGCCAGTCAGGACTACATGGTGAGACCCTGTCTCTAAAAAACAAATAGAAAAAAAAAGAAGAGAAAGTTCATGCTGCAGTTTGAAGAGCGTGAAGGCGGATACTTCATTTTGTGTACAGTGCATATAAATGAAAGAGAAAAAAACAGACTCTGTGGGGAGCTGCTTCATTTTAGCATTTACATTTTGGGCTGTAGCCACTATTGGCTGACATTATTTATAAAAATGTTATGGCCAAGTGGCACACAGTTAAAAATGCACAAAGAAGTGAAGCTTTTCAAGTTTCAGCAAAAGTTACTTTCTTCAAAATTAGTTTTGATATTAATAATTCTGCATAAAACCAGTTTAAATGAAACTTTGTAAGTTATCAAAGAGCCCTTTTGTTTAAAATGGTGATTGCTGGCATTTCAGGCACTCTAAATATTGACATTATTCTGAAACTGGACAGTAACCATGTCATAGGCAGTGCAGCACTGTATATGTGTGCCTATATGTGTATGTATGTGTGTGTGTGTGTGTGTGTGTGTGTTTGCACTCACACAAGTGGGTGGGTATGGGTGTGGCCGATGCAGTGTTGGGTTAAACCCTGGGCTTCACATATGCTAGGTAAGCCTACCATTGAGCTACATCCTTCCAAAGTTCTCTTATCATGGAAGTTTTTCCTTTTCAATAATTTTAAATTCAGGTGCTTAGATTTATGCATTTGAAACTACAAGTTGTTTGATTTGGGTAGTTTTTAAGTAAGTAAAAAGTACTTGAAGTTTAAAATGGAGGAAAAGGGTTTATACCTTTTTTTTCCCTTGGTTTACTTAGTTTTCTTTGTCTTTCCTCTTTGCCAGGACCATTTTTCTCATAGTACATTGATAAAATCGTCATTTAGATGTTTAAGGGACATTTGGCTGGGTATTTATAGTAGGAGTAGTTTCTGTAGCTCCATCCCCTGTTCAGGTGTGGCCCTTAAAGTCTGGCAGATCAGATCTAAGCGTTAGATTGTTGTATAGAATTAGGGTCACATACTAAGGTCAGTGTAAATACAGAGAGGATAGATAAGTAAGGGGAATGGAAACGGGGAAGGAAGTGCCTTCTCCAGTTGTGCTTATGAGCAGGCGGATCCCAGGGTCAATAAATGTCAGTGTCTCAAGGCAAGCAATTGGTTGTGCTCTCATGCCATCTTGGTTGTGACTTTGCTTTTCCTTGACTCTGTGCCACTGCATTGAGATCTATTTAAGATACACAGCATGATATTTGTAGCTAGAGTTTTCCTGCCTGGCCCACAGTCAGGACAAATCTCTCTCACCCACCAGTCCCACTCAGACCCGACCAAGTAAACACAGAGACTTATATTGGTTACAAACTGTATGGCCGTGGCAGGCTTCTTGCTAACTGTTCTTATAGCTTAAATTAATCCATTTCCATTAATCTATACCTTGCCACATGGCTCGTGGCTTACCGGCATCTTCACATGCTGTTTGTCATCGTGGCAGCTAGCAGTGTCTCTCTGACTCAAGCCTTCCATTTCCCAGCTTTATTTTCCTCCTTGTCCCGCCTATACTTCCTGCCTAGCCAATGGCCAATCAGTGTTTTATTTATTGACTAATTAGCAACACATTTGCCATACAGAACATCCCACAGCAGATATTCAGATGTATTTATTACATTTGGTTATCACATGCTAATTAACATCCATCACTTGACATAATTATCTTGTTTTCTTTTTTGAGATCTACTCTGTTAAGGAGTATAGTAATAACTACATTTGCTATCATGTCTGTATATTAGATCTCTAGACTTATTCTTCAAAACAGAAATTGCTTTTTGACCACCTCACATGCCCACTGGTCTCCAGCACCTGGCAACCATGCTCTCTGCTTCTATATGTTTGACTTTAGATTCCACATATGAAGACTTTGCAATCTGTCTTTCTCTGTCTGTGCTGCTTTACTTGGTATAACAAGTAAATTTACTTGTCATAAATGTAAGCCTTAAAGGATAAGTAATATTGTGTATATTTGCATACATAAGTTTTTGTATGTCTACATTTGCCTCGGATATTAGGGAGTATTGTGGTGAGTTTAGGAGTGCATGTAGCTTTCAAGAGCTTTCTTCTTTTTTATTAATTTTTTGAGACATGATCTTATTATGTATCCCTGAACTCACTGTGCAAACTAGCCTGGCTCCACTTCACAAGAGATCTCTGTGCTTCTGCCTCCTGAGTGCTGAAGTTAAAGGTACACATCTGGCCTTTTAAAACAAACCAGAAAAAAGATTATTTTTATTATTTTAAATTATGTTTGTGTGAGGCTGGAGAGATGGCTCAGGGGTTAGGAGCACTTTCATTGCTCTTGTGGAGGACCTGGATTTAGTCCCCAGCACCCAAGCAGTGGCTCACAACCATCTGTAACTCCAGTTCAGGAGGTCTAGTGCCCTCTTCTGACCTCTTTGAGCACCAGGCACACATGTGGTGTGCATATATACATGCAGGCAGAATACTCATGAATATAAAATATAAATCTTAAAATTGTTTTTGAATGTGTGTGTGTGTGTGTGTGTGTGTGTGTGTGTGTAGGTTCACCTGAGTTCAGGTGCTTTCAGAGGCCAGCGGTGTCAGAGTACCTGGAGTAACTTGGAGTTACAGGCAGTGAACCACCTGCCATGGATACTGAGAATCAGACTCAGGTCTTCTGAAAGAGCAGAAAGTGCTTTTGACCACTGAGTCATTTCTCCAGACATCTTTTCAGAGAAGTAGGATTGTTGGATCATTTGGTATTTTTATTTTTATTTAGCTATTTTAGATGCTGGTGCTCAGACTCGGGACCTGTGTATTCTGTGCTGAGCAAGTATAGTCTGAAGGCAACTATACTCTGCCACTGAGCTGTATCTGTAGCCCTTGGTTTCTTTTTGTTTTTCTGTACTGGGCATCAAACCCTGGTCATTGCATGTGCTAGACAAGTCCTGTACCACTGAGCCATATCCCTAGCCTCTGGCTTGCCTTTTCTGAGCAAGGGTCTGGCAATCTACTTTGTACTGGCACTGAAGTATGAAACCTTGCCTGGTCTCTAACTTGGAGTCCTCTTGCCATACAGCCTCCTGAGCCCTGGGATTGCAGGTTTATGCTGACATGCCAGGTTATTTTCAATTTTTTTGAGGAACTTCCAAACTGCTTTCTATAATGACTGTATCAGTTTACATTTTCACTGACAATAAAACAAGGGTTCTCTCTTCCCCATCTCCTTGACAACAGTTGCTGTCCAACTTCTGATGAGTCATTGTGACCAGTGTGGTATAGTGTCTCTCTGATTTTTATTTGTGTTTTGTTGATGATTACTAGTATTGAGAATGTTTTCATATACTTGCTGGTCATTTGGATGTCTTTTGAGACATGCCTGTTTAGATCCTTTATCCTGTTTGTAAGTTGGGTTCTTATTTGGGTAGTAACTCAATATTGGATATACTGTTAGCATATATTCTGTTTTATAGGCTGTCTCTTTGCTGTTTTGATTGGTTTTGTTGTTCTCAAGCTTTTTAGTTTGATAAAACCCCATTCCTCTGTTTCTTACATCACCTATGCTTGTGGAGTCCACCCTAAGATCTTCATCTGCCAGATCAATATCAAGAAACTTTCCCCATGTTTTCTTCTGTTTTCATATTTAGGGTGGATCTATGGCCTTCTCCATTCTGCTCTTTCTCTTCCTTGCTTTCTCCTCCTCCTTCCTCCCCCTACTCTTTCTCCCACCTCCTCTTTTTTCCTTCTCTATATCACCTCCTCTTCTCCTTTATTTTCCTCCACATTGAACTTAAGGTACTTTTTACTCAAACTCTTTCTAAACCAGATAACGTTTGTGTGTTAAATGTGCAATTCTCTACACTTGTGTAAAAAGAATTAAAAGGAAAACTATCTTCAGTTGATCTGTGCTGTTGTTCTATAGTACCTATCTGTTCCTCCCTCCCTCTCCTGCTTTCCCTCACTCTCTCCTGCTTTCCCTCTTTCTGCAAGGTCTTGCTGTATTGTCCTGGCTGGCCTGGTACTTGCTATGTAGCACTGGTTTTTCTTAAGTTCATGTCAGACCTCCTGTCATACCCAGTTGAATGCTGGGATTACAGACAAGAAGTATCATGATGCCTGGGAAAGAAATTCTTAGAACATTTTTGTTGTTGTTGTCTTGGGTTTTTTTGCGTGTGTATTGTCAGAAGAAAAAAAAAACTTATGTTTCATCATAAGTTTATGAGACTAGTTTAGTTTTGTAGCTTAACAGTTTGTCCTGGAGAATGCTCTCTATTCTCTAAATGAATGTGTAGTTTGCTGCTGTGGGATGGAAGCTTCAGTGTATATCCATCTTGCTTTAATGTTGTTCAAGTCTGCTATGTCCTTACTCATTTTTCCAATCTATCCATTTGCAAAGATGGGGAGTATTTAAGCCCCTCACCACTAAAT